TTGAGATTGAAAAGAAACATAAATAATCACGACTTTACGTTTCACAATTAATATAAAATTATTTTGATATTTAAAATTTATCGATCATATATTTATCATGATCGCACTTCAACATTTCAAACAAATTTTAAATCGCTAAAAATGAATATCTGTAACTTAAAATACTGAATCAAAGATTAAAAAAAAAAAAGAAAAAAATATTAGCCGAGCTGAGCCGTAAAGCCATTTGGCTAGACTAGGCTCGGTTGGGTTCACGGCTTGTGAACAGTAACCATAACTGACTCTTTTATATTTAGTTGGATATGTTTAAATATCAATTATTTAAGGATAAGATGGAGAGCAAAGCCAAGGCACCAATAGTAGGTAAGTTAAATGGCTTCTTCTAAATTTGATAGCTCAAGAAGAGTCTCTAACCTCTACTTGTCGCTTGAGCATGTACATTTGGTACACTAGGTCAACAGGACGAGATAAGATTAAGATCGAAAAGTATGTGATTAAATATGACAATCATCTAATTCAAATATAATACAAAAAGAAATGAGATTCAGAACTTCTTAGCATACAACCTAATTCAGAAGAAATGTTATTACCAAATAGATTCTCTCAACCACCGTTAGATTTGGCATCGCCACCAAATTTCTAGGTTGAGAAAATAATATTGATGCGGTTTAGAGAGAGAGAGAGAGAGAGAGAGAGAGAGAGAGAGAGAGCATTAATATCGATTTATGTTAAATTTTGTTTTTAAAAACTAATTTTTTGAATGTCAGAAAGCTTGTGTATCTTGGAACAACAAGCCCACATGCAGATGGATTGGAGCTCGTGTTAGAATTTGACGGAATATATTTTGTGAATGAAGAATACTTTTTCATTAATTTGAATGGACATGTTACAACTCTTTTATAATACAAGGAATCGTGTATAATAGGTAGGTATCTAATCTAGGAATGAAAATTACGATGGAATAAAACAATATATTTAACAAGGAAATAAATCTTCCTAAATATGAAATTATTCAATAGCTCATTTGATCAAACTCCCTTGAAAAGACTAAAGAATCTATGTCATGAAATTTATTGTGTTGTGTTCATAGATTGATTTCTTGAGAATACGATTCCAGACAAAAACTAGCTTTTGAGTTGCTATACTCGACAATTACTATGTCACTACCGATTACCATCAAGACGAAGTCGTTTTCTACCATCAAAGAGACCAACACTTTTAGTTTATTTTCGCAAGTAGTGTGAATAAATAAAATTTCCAATAAGTATATAAAATACAACACTAATTTAGCATTAATGCCAAATTAACTTCAAAGGGTGGTGGGGTTAACAACCTCACGTGACATGCCTCCCCATTTATGTGTGTGCAGCCCAAAATTCAAATAAACAATCCCGACTCATCTTTTAACAGTTTAAATTTTTAGATGAAAATATTCAGTTTGTTATTAATCTCGTGAGGAAGGAGAGGAACCATCACCAATGTTGCTTATACAGAAGTACACTAACTAGCTGATAGCTAATCATTTCTTGATGCTATGGAACTTGGAAGGCCAAGTTTTCAAGTTGTTTAAATAGACTAGGTGACAAATCGTCCATAGCAGTACTCTCGAATATAGAGCAACAACAACAATGCACGTTACAAGTCTAATAAAACTGGTAACAATCATCTGGTTCTTCGAAATTATCTTTTGAAGAAGCATTTGTTCTTGACGATGAACAAATTTTTGATAGGTTTTGAAGAAGTATACTAACTAATGGCTAATACTTTCTTGACACTATCGAACTTGAAAGACCAAGCTTTTAAGTTGTTTAAATACATATTGTAACATATCGTCCATAACAATACTCTGAGGTATAGGGCAACAAAGGCAATGCATTTTACTAATCTAATAAGACTGGTAAGGATCTTCAAAATAATCTTTTGAAGAAACATTTGTTCTTGGGTGATGAACAAAATTTTGATAGGTTTTAAAGAAGTAAACTAACTAATGGCTAATACTTTCTTGACACCATCGAGCTTGGAAGGTCAAACTTTTAAGTTGTTTTAAGTAAATATGGTGGTCGATAGCGGTACTCTGGGATATAGGGCAACAAAGGCAATGCATGCTATTAAAACGATAGAGATGATGGATTTAGGTTTTCGTCACAACCAATTTATAAAATTATTTAAGTGTGAAAATAATTTGATAATAAAGAAATTAATTTTCGCATAAAAAGATATGTTGAAGGTAAAATGTGTCCGTGCACAAGCTAAGTATGACTATGAAGGTAAGTATATTGAGTGTGGGTAGGTAAATGGGAAAGGCCGAAAGAGAGATAAGGAACAAAATGTGAGTGCATTGCTTGTTGACAAGGTTAAGTAGACAACAAGTCCTTGGATCTATCATATTGGTGTTAGCCATGTTTTGCTGCAGATTTTCTTTGGTTTACATTTACAACTTTGACAAATAATTCTACTTTTGTAATTCTTTCTAAGCGTTATGCCCCTGTCTGTCTGGTTGTGATTAAAATTAAAATTTTGATTTAAATTAAAGTCAACAATTCATTTTAATCATATATTTTATGTGATCCACCATTTTTTAACTATATATTTCATCAACTTTTATCAAAATCTACTAAAAAAATGGTTTTAATCCCATCAAACGGAACTATATTTTTCTCCTTTGCCACTTATACGATTTATTTTTGCTTTCTAATCAATATATTATGTTTAATATTCTTGATCAGATAACATTCAACATGATATTTAAAATTTTGTCTTGTACAATATTGTTCAATATAAAAAATTAGAGTAGCCCTCCCGGGGCACATTCCAACTGGCAAAGGACGGAGCTCTTAGTTCCGACAATTCAGAGGTCGCGAGTTCGATTCTTGGGGTTCTTGGAAGGCAGACTCTTTCCTGGAAGCCAAGAGTTCTCCTGAAAGGCAAGTTGACTCGCTCGACACTTTGACAGATCAGTGGAGGGGGCTTATGGACCTTGACCAGTTTGAAGCACATCCCGTGATTTACCTGGTCTGCGTCTTGAGGGGACAAAACGTAGACACCAGGATTAGTCGTCGAAGGTGGACACGTGGGTATCAAAAAAAAAAAAAAATTAGAATAAAAATTGATTAGAAAAAGAAATATTTAAAATGTGTATCTATTATACTCTTCGCTCTCATCATCAAAATTACTGCACCATACAATGTTTTATTGTTTTGTGCAAGTTGGTTTTGAAAGGTATATTCGTTTATTTCATGAGATATAGGGTACATCGATTTTACACAAAAGAGAGATATTTGATTATCATTAATGATCGAACTCGCAAAATTTATTTCACAAAAACTCATTGAAAATAGTTTGGCGGAAATTGAAAATTTATATGGCAAAATTGTTTTATATGTTTAAGAAAGTTATATTATATTACATTAATATTTTTATAACATTTACTAAATAATGCGTGCAATAAATTAATGTTGTATTAATATGTGTGCTAGTGTGTACACATTAATGTTAAGTCAATTTAAATTCATATAAAATTTGGCACTGACTTTACCTTTTACGTTATACCACTTATAATTAATCAAATAAATACATATTCATTTTAAAATTAATTTCTAAATGACTTTTTGATGAACCCTAATTATTATTAACATAAGTAAGACTCCGATATTAAAAAATTATTATCTGGTAAAAAAATTATTTTTGAGCTGCTTTCAAGAGTTAACAATCAAGTAACTATTTGTTGCAGCCTCGAACCAATTAAGATATAAAGAGATGTTGGATGAATAGGTGCATGGAAATACAAATAGTGTAACGACTTACCGAAGCAATGGTACGTGCATAATAATGAGCAAATCACGAAGAAAACGCAGAAATATGATCAAATAGATGTCCGTCTCCCAAGATTAAAATGTTTCTTCCAAAATTAATATAGTACACTATTAATTTTGTCGGACGAACCAAACTTTTGACTGTACTCTTTTAGAATGAAAGATATCAAATAGTAAATATCGAATACGAAATTTAAAATAATAAGAAAATTATTTTGATAGAATTTAGAGAAAGAAAGAATTAGAAATCAATCATTAGAAATTGATTTGGAGCGGAAAAAAAATGAAATTAGGATGGTCCTATTTATAGATTTGTATGTGTCTCTTCGAAGGGTCATGTCTTATGGCCAAATTAATTTTTTTCCAATTCACATATATTAATTCATTGAAGAATTGCACCTATCGATGACTTTTCCAATGCACACATTTTAATCTTTATATATTATCCTAAAATTCCAACAAGAAATAAATTTATTACGATGATTGATGATCCACATGAGAACATAAAACGAAAAATTGTCTAAAAAATATTATTTTACATAAAAAAAAAATTACAATAAAGATCTGAGTCTTGCATAATCTATTTTTGATAATGTAATGTCCACTTATTCTGTTCTATAAACTGATATGATATATATATTGTATATTTCGGAAGGAAAGGGCCTAAAATTTGCATAAGAATTTGTTTTTCTTTACTTCAGTTAACTTCATACTTATAATAATTTAAGTCTAGTCAGTTTGGAAAAAAAAATATAATAATTAATGAGCAAAGATCGTACAACCTCTTTATGTTAATTAATGATACTACGTCTTTAGATAATATATATCTAATTCCTACTTTATCAGCTATAGTGATAATTTAACAGAAAATTTATGCCTTTAGGACATAATTATTAATGTTTTAGTCTAATGAAAACCACCTTTGACAAGCTTACTAGAATATATGTCATACCGTGAACAATTCCGATGTTGTTCATTATCTACGGTCAAATCACTTTTCCACATATTTTATGGGACGCACACGAATCACCCGTTTATATTACACGAATCACCCGTTTATATTAATTTGTTTATAAATTAATATGATTTATAAACAACTCCAAAATTTCACGCAAACTTTGAATGAACAATTTCATTTGAAATATTAAATTTGTTAAAATGAGATCGTTTTACATGATATTGGTAATTTTGTTCAAACTACCGAACCATTTCATATGAAAACTTTGTTGTTTTCTTTTCCTAGATGAGATGGGAAGGTTTTTTTTTTTTCATCACTTGAAATCGTAGAGTAACGCTGTTTAGAACCAGTGATTCTTAGCTGCACAGATTTAGGTGGCATGGGAGCTATTACTACATTGTTGAGTTAAAGTTGAAATGTATTTTTTATTGAACAATGGACATTGATCCCACTCCTAATTAGGATAATGCCGAATAACATTACTCCAATGCATCAGGTTCTAAGTATAGAAAAATTTAAAACAGAGGAAAATTGATATAATTTCACAATCATGCTACATGAATATCAATGTTGAAATTAAGCTTGATATAATGTCATGTGAGATTCTATCAGATGACAGTTTAAAACGCGGTCAACTTTTCCATCCAATCATCTATTACGATAGGCAATTATGTTAAACTTTCTGTCATATCTTTCTGACAAAGTAGCTTTATGTCAATCTTGATATTTTAAATAATCAAATGATAGAATGTCACATGACATTATGTCAAACTTTATGTCAACCTTGATGTTCATATAACATTATTATTTTATTTTATTACTTTAAAAATACTCTTATAATCACAGTCTTTAATTAGAGGTGGTCATTTTTTTTCTTGTTTAAAATTCACACTAGGACTTTAGTTGTTGCTTGGTTGTTTTATAATAAATTATACAAAATATTGAATTTTCTCCAATTTCAAGTTTTGGTCTAAATTATGAGGACCCAACAAGATTAAATAGAAGTGTTATTCTTTATATTCTTGACAACTGAGGCATCATTGTGAATGCTGTTTTAAAGAGAGAAAGTGATTTATAATTTATTCTCCCCCTTTTAATTTTTATTTATTCAAATTATTATTATTATTATTAATTATTTTTGGGGTGGGGGTGGGGTGGGGTGGAAGAGGAGAAATCCTAATCACATCTTGCCTAAGGCATAATTATCATTACATGTTTTCTTTTACACATGAACAAGAGGCGCGCACATAGAACAATGCATACAGCCTCACTCACCCTGTTGCTTTCTCCCACTATAAAATTAATCATTTTTTTAATCAAAAGCAGCTTATAATTAATTACCCTCTTCTTTGAATATGCTCATATTTTATGCCCTTATATGTTTACTTTAAATTTTTGAGAATGGCTGCGTCTGCTTCTCTCTCTACACATCTTCCTCATCATTTCCTTTCTCTCCACTTGATTTCTTTTGTTTTCTAGTCGTTCTAGGGTTTGAATTCTTGTGCTTTATTTACTCATAAAAAACTCTTGTTTTTAATTATAATTAGTTTTCTTGATTATCATACTTTATTTTTTCTTGGTTTCCTGTTCTCTTTGTTGTAGTATATGGCTGGTTTGGACTTAGGCTCAGCTTCCCACTTTGTTTCCCAGCTCCACCTCCAAAGACCGCCGGATTCTGAAGATGAAAGCGATCGAAATCAGTTTTCCGGCGAAAACAACGATAACTCACATCAAGGGCTGGAGCTTGGAACATCCAACACAAGCTCGGGCGACATGGTGGCGCGTCGGCAGCGAGGCCGTCCTCCGGGATCCAAGAACAAGCCAAAACCGCCGGTGATTATCACCCGAGAGAGCGCGAACACACTTCGTGCTCATATTTTGGAGGTCAGCAGTGGCTGTGATGTGTTTGAGGCGGTGGCTACCTATGCAAGGAAGAGACAAAGAGGGATTTGCATATTGGGTGGCACTGGTACTGTCAACAATGTTACCATACGGCAGCCCGCGGCAGCCGGCTCTGTGGTGACCCTTCACGGCCGGTTTGAAATTTTATCCCTTTCTGGCTCCTTCCTGCCGCCTCCGGCACCGCCAGGCGCCACCAGTTTGACAATATATTTAGCTGGTGGACAAGGTCAAGTTGTGGGAGGAAATGTCGTGGGTCCTTTGATTGCTTCTGGACCAGTTATCATCATCGCAGCTTCATTCACCAACGTGGCTTATGAGAGGCTGCCATTGGACGAAGATGAAACACTTCAGATGCAGCCACCGGTGTCGCAGCCGTCAGGTAGCGGCGGAGGAGGTGTGAGCAGCCAATTTCCTGATCCATCATCTGGACTTCCTTTCTTCAATTTGCCGCTGAATATGCCTAATGGGCAACTGCATATGGATGGTGCATGGACCGGAAACTCCGTCGGCCGGCAGCAATATTAGGTCAAAATTAAGGTGAGATAATCAGTGTATCATCATCATCATCCTAATAAGTTTTCCTTCTTGTACATTAATTCACTTCTGATTTGTGAATTACTTCTCGTTTCTCTCAATTAACTGTGGAACTTATAAGAGTTAATTAGAAATGTTTTCAGGGTTAGACTCTCTGTATTTCCATTTCTTTCTTTATTGCAAGTTGTTCAGTACTGGTTCTGAAATAATTTAACTTGTTAAAATCTATGCTGAATTCAATGTAATTCTTCCCATTTAGAATAAATTTAATATCATAAACAAGTGTCTGAAAAGAAATTACCATTAAATTAAGTTTTAAAAAAATAAATCTCATGTGATCTAATGCTATTATCATGAAATATATATATCAATTCAAACTAAAAGACAGTTCTTATAATAAGTATAGATTCCTTCTCTACCTCCATGCCTTGTTCTATTGTTTATTAGTACTCTTTTCCAGGATGAGTTGTCTTCTATGTATAATTTATAGATTATAGGAGGGGGAATCAACTTGTATTTTTGGGCAACTTTTACTTGAAATCATCTCAAATTAATCAAAGAGAGACTGGCACAATTCTCCTTGTTCGTCCCGCTGTTTTTGTGCAATAAACTCGTCTGGGTGAAGACTAGTGGTGCTTAGCACTCGGAAAAAGGGTAGCCTAGTGTGTAAACACGACATTCACAACGGTGATTTACACTTGAGAATACAATTCATCTCTTTACTGTCGATTAATTTTTGCTCTCTTGGCTGAAGATACAACCCTGGGATTGATTGATTGATACCTCCAAATATTTTCACTAGGTATAGTATTCTCATAATTTTATTTTTTCTAGTATTTTCCTTTGAAGCGAACTTATATGCAGCACTAATTAGTAACATTTAAGTGATTCCCCTTATAATATTTACATAGCTATATGTCGAATATATATTAGGGTTAGGTCTTGCATTCTGGGATGTAATAGTCTATGTTTTCTTTATTTACTGTGTACTATGTTTAGGTACGATAATGTAATCCTCAGTGTTGAGTTACCCAATGTTTACCTTCAAAAATGAAACCTCGATTCAATTAATTATTACATTAATTTATTAACCATTTATTCACTTAGCCAAATTGATTATTATTGACAAGGCTTCTTTGACTTGGTGTTATACTAAAGAAGTCCTAGTATTGAAACGACTACCATTTCTTTTCGTAGGATATTTCGAATCCTATGCAAGTCATAATCTACTCTACTTCTTCTACAACGACTTAAATTTGAGAATGTAAGAAATGGACATAATCTAGTACTATGCTTGGAGTCGACTTTCTTTTTGTAGCTGCTAAGGCTAGAGTGCTCTGGCAATGTCCTCTTTTGCTGATTTAATGTTTAATTTAATATTAAATACCGAATAAGATTTGAGAATATAATTCGTAAGATTTTTAATATTTTTCCTTAATATTGTGTCAACCTTATCGAATAAGTCATTAGCTACTTATATTGTCTATTATTATGGCTAAAGTTGGCAATCACTTCCATTAATTGTAGGGTTTCCCTTAAATGTTTATCCTATCAAGTTCATATCTATGAGTAGCTCTATAAAACTAATAAATCCTTTAAGATTGTCTTCTTTTTTTCATGTTTATTTGAAATTGAAAAATGTATGTATGTCAAATTTAACAGCATATTTAGCCAGTTTATCATGAAATTATTCTCGAAATGAAAGGTTGAAGATTTAAATGTCAATAAAAAGTTATCACGAGTTTATAAGGATCCTATACAAGGAAGATTGTGCGTGCTAATTACTTGTACACCAAACATGGTTTTCACATTTAAGTCTAATCTAAAGAAGATAACAAATCAATCAATCAATCACATAACCTATACCAAGTCCATTTCTAGAACATTCGTTGAAGTGCACAATCGAATTCACTCTAACATTCGTAAGTATCAGCCAGAGTCGACATGTTTTGCCGAGACTTGAAATTTAGGACCTCAACCTCACCAAGGTAGCACCAACTCGACGTATGGTCCATTGCAATTTCAATATAGCATAATCAAACCATTATTTAACCATAAAAGTACACTTTGGATTTTTTTTAATAACCTTCCATCAAGGAGCCATGTTTTGTAGTGTTGATTCAATGATTAAAGAACAACCATGTAATGTTGAATAAACCCATAGCAATCATATAATGTGCCTTCATTAGTACCACGATATCTTATTGTGATATTTGAGGTTATCTCATGAGCAAACCTAGTGGAAATATTATTTAATCCATACCCAATCATGTTTTTGAGGTCCCAATATTTTCATTAACAAATTTTATTGCAAAACAGGCCTTTCTAGTCTAATAAATTTCTTTAGGGTCAAATAATATGGATACTTGTTGGCGTGGGAGGCAATGGCATCCAATTATCGTACGTTGATAATTAATCCATATTGGCAAGGGTCTAACCATAATGATTGTGCTACATGTACATCACAACTTATAGATTTATTTATTAACAAATGACGTGACGAGATTTTATTGAGTCAAAATCTCACCAATATCAAATTAAAAAAATCATCCAATATCTTTTTGTCATTAACCCACTTTACATATGAACAACCGTTTAAATGGTGAAGAGATTTTGACAAATTTGATTCAATTTATTGACACCTCATCAATATGTAAATAGTAATGTACAACAAGTATTTTTCTGAACATAATACAACGTCAACATCACAAGCACCTATTACCATTTCCACTTACCTCGTCCCTATAGACACTACATGCACATGTCTAGATTTAATGTTATCGTTTGCTCGTCTAGTCAAACACCATGCACACAAGCAGTCATCGATTCAGGGGTTTTAAGCAACGTTGGAATGGAAAGAGGCAACGAGATCCAATCATCGCACATTGAAAATTAACCACTATCACATTGACTCTTCCGGATCTTATTTTAAAATTTTCAGAACTTCACTTTAGACTCATTTATAACCTGTCAACTCTACTTAATTGCTTTACCATAATGCCCTGTAGAAACTTATGAGAAAAAAATGAAGATTAAATTTCTCCTGTATTTATTCAGCGAACTGATATATAACATGTCTGAAAATACAGAAAATCACTTGTTTGAAGTAAAAATAAATAAATAAATAAACTAAGAAACAACAAACAAAAAGGTTGAAAACCAGAAAACATATATATCAGCCAGAAGCAATTGGTCTAGTTATTCTTGAACCACGAGAATAGAAAATGAAGTTTTTATTACAGGCTGTTTGTAAGGCAGCCTGTTGCAGTGACGGTGGCTGAGCCAACATTAACGGAGTCACGGTTTCTGGGAGCCCGTTTGCCGCCCCAGTCCCCATATCTATATGTTCTTTCAGTGGGAATAACTGCCACGATTAGTTGGATTCCGACTATAAGCTTCCTGGCCATCCTTACCACAATTCTGGTGGTGGCCACTGCAGTCGTCAGTCTTTTTTTCGTCAAAGTGGATTTCTTTTTCTGCTGTTTCAAAAAACTTTTTCTGATTATGCTTTTTGAAAATGAACTTCATCGATTGATTCAGAACGCCTGTTACTTGACGGTATCTGTGTAGATTAGAAATTGATAATGGGGCGTGGTCAAGTGGTAAGGCAACGGATTTTGGGTTTTGGTCCTGCTATTCGGAGGTTTGAATCCTTCCACCAATGGGTGTTTTCTTTATGCTCTGCTGCCTTTGTTGCTGCCTTTTGCACATGAAGATCCATTGCAGCTTCAGCTTCTCTGGCCATTCTTACTTCATGAGCAACCTCAATTCACGCTTTATAGACAACACTTTCTCCGCCTACAAGAGTGCGATTATACGAAGTAACATTTATTGACCCTGAATAGTTGTGCAGAAACTTCAAAGGGTTCTATAAAGACTCGTAAAAATGGCGTTCAATAAAGGTCTATGTAATACTAATCGATGGAGACATCATGGTAATGATAGAAGATCTAGTTCATTTAAATCCACGGTTATGGATCTATAAAACACTTCTTTTCCAAGTGAAATGCCATGTCTAACAACAGAATCACCATTACTCAATGACTATCTTTTTCACTGCAGAGGACTAAAATTTCAGCATTTATATATGTATCACTAATATTTTTCATGATCATACTCACTCAGGCAACATTACATGGAAAAACCAAGTAACCTTTTGAACTTTATTGATTCATTCAATAATTTTTATTCAAGAACGACTAAAACCAGGTCAAATGCTTCGTTTAAGTTATTTTTGGAAAAGTGAGGTAAATCATCAAATTCAACATTGAATGTAGGGCCTGGGAATGAATCAGTTGTCAAGATCGTTGAAGATAACATTTAAATAAAGAAACGCATTTACACGAGCTGATTCACATGATACTAAAGATAGACGAAAGACCTGAGTTAAAGTCATGAGGATGTGTTGAGGACAAAATTTAAATAAAGATTATTCCTTAAGAACCATATAATCTCACTCCTAGTGGACTGCATACATGGGTGGAGATAGGGGTGGGCTTTGCCCAAGCCCAATCTCTGAAAAAAAAAAAATGGTTAAAGCCCCATTATCCTTTCCAGCCCACCCTTGCCCAAGCCCACCATTTGAAAAAAAAAGGGGAAAATTACAAAAAACCAGGAATTTAGTTTGACATTTTTAAAAATTAGGTATACCTTTTTAAAAAGCAGGTTTACCATTTTAAAAATCAGGTTTTTAGTTTATTTTTGCAAAAATCAGGTAGTATAAAATCCTAATTCTTAACCTAATCAATTTCCTCCCAACTATCTCTCTCTAAATCTCTCGCCTCTCTCTCAACCCACTGCCTCTCCATTTTCTCTCTTTGTACCAATACATGATATCCATTACCTCCGGCTGCTCTGGCGACTCCTAGTGGTTGGGTGCAGTGGGTATGGTGTTGTGCGTGCAGTGCTGTGGTTGGGTGTTGAGGCGTGCGGTGGTGGTGGGTGCTGTGGTGGGGTGTTGAGGCGTGCGGCGGTTGGGTTCTGTGGTTTGTGGGGTTGTTGCCTTATTGGCGATGGTGGATTCGACGGTGGTTGTGGGTGTAGTGGGTACGTTGTTGTGCGTACGGTGGTGGTGGGTGTTGAGGCGTGCGGTGGTTGGGTTCTGTGGTTTGTGGGGTTGTTGCCTTGTTGGCGATGGTGGTGGGTCTAATGGCGATGGTGGATCCGGCGGTGGAGGTGAGTTTTGGTGGTTGGAATTTTGTAAACGGTGCTGGTGATTGTGCAGATTTTGGTGGTGGCAATGAATGTGTAGATTTTGGATCTTTGTTTTACGGTGGTCGTGCAGTGATTTTGTTGGCGGTGGTCGTGTTGACGATGGTTGTTACGCTTTATAGACAACACTTTCTCTGCCTACAAGAGTACGATTATACGAAGTAACATATATTGAACCTGAATAGTTGTGCAGAAATTTCAAAGGGTTCTATAAAGACTAGTAAAAATGGCGTTCAATAAAGGTTTATGTAATACAAATCGATGGAGACGTCATGGTAATGATACAAGATCTAGTTCATTTAAATCCACGGTTATGGATCTATAAAACACTTCTTTTCCAAGTGAAATGCCATGTCTAACAACAGAATCACCATTATTCAATGACTATCTTTTTCACTGCAGAGGACTAAAATTTCAGCATTTATAGATGTGTCACTAATATTCTCATGATCATACTCACTGAGGCAACATTACATGGAAAAACCAAGTAACCTTTTGAACTTTATTGATTCATTCAATAATTTTTATTCAAGAACGACTAAAACCAGGTCAAATGCTTCGTTTAAGTTATTTTTGGAAAAGTGAGGTAAATCATCAAATTCAACATTGAATGTAGGGCCTGGGAATGAATCAGTTGTCAAGATCGTTGAAGATAACATTTAAATAAAGAAACGCATTTACACGAGCTGATTCACATGATACTAAAGATAGACGAAAGACCTGAGTTAAAGTCATGAGGATGTGTTGAGGACAAAATTTAAAGAAAGATTATTCCTTAAGAACCATATAATCTCACTCCTAGTGGACTATATATATATTCCGGTTACAACATCAAATTTCTACCTTTTTCTCCTCTTTGGCGTCACCATTGGCTTTGTGATAAACGAGATAGTACGAAGAAGAAACTTAACTAAAATCTTGCTAATGGTTATTTGACACTAGTTAGCTGCTCCCAGCCAATTTAGATGAGCGGATAACTTTAAAAACCTAAAATCCGATCAATCAAAATAATTGTAAAACACATTATCAGAACACACAACCAAAGAAATTGTTGAACAAATTCTATATTTATTACAGAGACAAAAAAGAAATTGATTAATATTTGAATTTACTGAGAATTATACATAATAGGCAACCTGTAATGTCCCGTGAACACGTTCTTCCTCAGCTGCGTGGTGAAGATGTGGAATTCGAGGGTTTTGGGGACTTCCCTTTTCCCAGTTGATGCAGGAGGATCCGAGTTAGACGAGGCCGAGCTGTCTGATAGTACATTAATGAAGCTGAGATACCATGAGTTGGCGGATCAGCGCAAAATTGGCAAATAATCATCGACATTTCCTAATTGGGGTCATTTTTTGATACATTTCGGTATTTTGGCCATAACTTTGACTACGGTTGTCAGAATCACGCCCATGACCCTAATTCGGAAAGCTATTTCGACGCGCACGTCGTGGTCTTGGTGTGTATTGGTTTTGATGCCAAATTCAGCTGTTTTCCCTTCCGAATCATTAATTTAAGTTATTTTTTACCATTTTTGGTAATATTTCAATTTCCTTTTTGACATAGATTACGATCTCAAATTAAGCCAAATTTTTGGAATCTTATTTCTATTATTATGTATTTCCTTTGGTATGAATAATAAGATTTTGCTATTTTTAATAAAATTCCGATAATTATTATTTTCTAGCTATTTTATCCGATTTGTGGGTTATTTTTGTTTAGTTGTTGAATAATAAAGATTTTCTCATTTTTCTTGGTGTTATTCTCTTGCATTCTTCTCTGTTATTATCTATTGGTTCCAGTTTGCAGAATAATCACTATTTTATTTGGCGTCACCAGTTGTCCTACATCGAAAGTTTGGAAAAGAATAACCTCCTTTATATGTTAAATTTTAAGAAAAACCTGCCGTGTGCATAGGAAGGAGAGATTGTTGGCATCTCCCTCGACAGGGACGTGAACGACCTTCGGGCTTAACCTGTTACCATACACATCCATTTAAGGCTACCCACCTCAGTGGATATCTAACCCATTTTTTCCTCTCTTTTTTTAACTCTAAGACGAATTTTGATCAATCTAGAATCTGAACACCGAGACCATGGGATGACTGCAACAACAAACATTATTAATAATAATTTTATTATTTTTAATTAAGAAAAATATAATTTTCAAATTTATTTATTCCCTTCGTATTATATTGTACGGTTGATAATGAATGAAACTATTTGATCAAAAAATCAAAGAATATTATCTACCTCAATCTATAAAAAATATCATTAGTCTAGTATTTAATTATTATAACTTTATTCTATATTTCTTTTACTGGATAAAAGCCGAAAGGGAACTATAAGGTTTTGTTATTTCTACAATTTTTGTTTCTTATGTTGATAAAATTCACATTATCATCGTTAGACACCTACAAAATATACTTTCAAATTTTCCCTTTTCAATTATATATTAAGCCCATATTTGGTGTAAATTAAAATCAGTTTTTAAATAAATTTTGATAAAAGTCGATGAAACACGTGGTTAATAAATTATGGATCTAATTAAATGTGTTGTTAATATTAATTGTTGACTTTTACTTGAAACTTTTATCAACTTTTAATCTACACCGACATGAACTAAATATCCTAACGTCAAAAACTAAGTCAACTTAGGCATTTGAGGGGGTACAGAGAAATACCCATATTTCAGTTATCAGCGGGGAGGAAATAATAGTGATACCAATTTTTGGCCATAACAATTTTCATAATACATAAGAATTTATAGGATAAGAGCACTTTCCAGTTACAAGTATTTAGCCATGNATTTCAGTTATCAGCGGGGAGGAAATAATAGTGATACCAATTTTTGGCCATAACAATTTTCATAATACATAAGAATTTATAGGATAAGAGCACTTTCCAGTTACAAGTATTTAGCCATGTCAACGAGTCAAGCCACGAGCCACAACTCAAAGCTCGAGCAAAATAGATCCGAGCCGAGCCGAGCCGAGCAAATGCTCAACCAAAAAAATGAGGCTCAGCCCGAGCCTTAGTGGGCCGAGCCGGGCCCGAGCAAGCCGGCTCGTGTTTTTTTTTTTAAATTCGTTATAAATCTATAATATTTTATAATGTTTTTAAAATTTGTGCAATTTATGCTTGTTATAAATAATAACTAAATATTAATATATAAAAAATACATTTAAACTTAATTTTTTTTTTTATATTACTTAGTCACCAGCCGGTGACGAGCCCGGAGTGGGCCTGGGCTCAAGCCGAAGCCCCAAAACGAGGCTCGGTGGAACTGAGCCCTAGTCGGGCTCAGCTCGGGCTTTTTTCGGGCCGAGCCCGAGTCGACGAGCTTTTTGCCATCCATATAAGTATCCATATGAGAGTATTCAATTAATTGTGTTTGATTAGTACAATTTTTCACGTGAAAAATATTGAAATTTTAGGCCTTTTGATATTCGTTTGACTTTGTTTTACATGAAAATTGTCCATTAGCGATAGAATTTGTTACAATTGGGGATAGAATTTATTTCCATTGCTAAAATAAAAATTAAAAAAAAAAAAGATGGGGAAAACCATTTTCCCATCGAAGTGGTGGAAAAACAAATTCAATGAAAACCAAGAAAATGAGGTCACGTGAGAGTTAGGAGGAAAACCAATTCCAAGGAAAATTTTACCTATCTAACATTGTAAAAGATGGAAAATGATTTCCAAGTTCCATGAAAAATGAAAGATATCAAACATGACCTAAGAGCATTCAGAAGCTGAAGGTAACAACTCAAGGATACACTGCAAGCAACTAAAATGTTTCTTTCTTGATATCCAAATCACAACAATTTATAAGAAAGTTTTACATTGTATTCATTACAAATAAAAACCTACCACCTAAGCTAACCATCAATTTGCCCAGGTAGGATTTTCATGTCTGGTGACTGTGAGTTGGATATTGACATCAGCTTAGACCTATATTTCTCGTCACCATCGTGTTTGAGAGGTTGGACAACTTTCTCATTGTCCAATTTTTTTGGTGACTGTTCACTGATGAGCTCTTTCTCCGGTAATCGATAAGAGATGGCAATCAATGACTCGCGAGTCACATCTTCAGAAACCTCCTTGCAGACTTCTTTCTTATCCATAAAATGATGATCTTTCTCCTACAAAATATAGTTGTGAAGGATCAACTAGAAAAAAAAAAGTCGTAAAATAGTATTCAAAATAACCTATTCGTTCGAGCCCAACTTAGATACAAATTCAGTATTACATATTGACAATTACTCACCATCAAAAGTTGATTTACATAGTTTATACCTAGTTAACAAAAGAGAAATGTCATGTTTCCAAAAGAAAAATGGGCGTTGAATTCTTGACAGCATGATGGGCAATCCGAGTTCATGGTTCTGATGAAGGCTTCTTTGACATCAATATCAGCCAAATAATTATTAGTCCTCTTATTTTTTACCCTAATTGTATTCAAGAAGAGCATCACGACGATGATTTGTCTAACTGCCATTTTGATTGATAAGCAGAACTCTTTCAAGAATTGTTTTCATCATTAACTCCATGTGTATATATATGCATCAAAGAGATAGAAATCTAGTAAATTTATATAATGTTGAACAGTTGAATTTTAATCCAAATCCATAGCTCCCATTTTATTCAAACCCGTAGCAATTAGTCGATCAACTCCTGATAGTGACCATTTAAAGGTGTACCTGACTGGTAGATGATCCAGCGTACCAAGCAAAGCTAATAGATGGAGAGTTTATTTTGTAGCCAGTGACACAGGAGATTCTATGTCATCTAATGCAAATGTACAATTCTTGATTTAGAAAGGTTTGGAAGAACTTCCGTCACAAAAGCAAAACCACTCGACACTTAATAAATAGGTTAATGCACAAATTAAATTGCATCATTCTGTAAGAACTTAGTCAAATTCGACCGTTCAAACATCAAAGGGTACAAAATAAGATTGGAATTTGAGTTAAATGTCTCAATTGTGCTTTTGCCCTGTACAAGTAGCTAGGGGGGCTGCCCCCTGCCATTTGGGGGGGGGGGGGGCGGGGGACAGAAAAGCCCTGTACAAGTGGCATAATTCTAACTAATGTCACATGTCAGAGTAAGTACATCTCGCAGCAGCTCAGTTTTTTACAGGCTCGGAGAAAATTTTCATAATGAGCCCCTCATTTGATTCTCATTTTTCATCCATAAAAATGATAAATATGACCATTATCTATCGTATCAAGCTATCAATTTTGAATTTCTATCTCTTGTGTCGGGCCCAATAATAACTATATTTTTCATTCTCATTCTACAATAATGAGAATCAAACGGGCAAGAAGAGATCATTAAAAAGTTGGGATATATCTTATAAGAGGAAAGCAAGACAAGTATAAAGCAGCTTTAACAATGAACTAATTCGCAATTTAACATTATTTATCATCCTAAAGATGCGGGTAAATGATGGTTGTCAATGAAATTTACCAATATGCTTTACTTATAAACTTCCTTTACATGAAATCAACAGTAAGTCACTGTAATAACATTCCAGAATCAAAGAAGTTGTGCAAATATCAATGTTTTCAAAATGGGCTAAGACAAAGAACTGGAAAAGGCAAAGAGTTAAAGGTCAGAATATTCGACCGGGGTCGAACCGGAAATATAATCAATTAATTATATATAGATATTAATCTGATAATTAAGCATTAAAATTTAATGAAGTCCTATGATATTCATTACAATTATATTTGTAAAAATTCAAATAATCAATTCTGAGAACAATTAAACAACAGTATTTCCAGAGTGTGACTCTTTGATATCTGTGTTTGCATTCACCAACTTAATGATTTCTCTTATCATTCATCTCTTCTATTCACTTGACTTTCCCCCATTAAAAATTTCTCTTCAATCAAAATCCTTAACAAAATTCTATCTCCTAAGGAATACTTTATACACTGAATATGTTGTGGATTGACATTACAAGATATCTGGTCCAGTGGTAAGCTCAGTCATTTTCAGACTGTACATCTGTAGATGAAATCACATCTAAGATGCACCATGAAGTTTTGTTCCAAAAGATTTTCGAGGTTTTCTTAACGAAGTTGAGTTCAAACTCAGGAGGAATAACATAGATTGATGTTTGAAATTCAAATGTAGTGCTGGTATTATTAATATATCATTTCCAATTCTGTTTCTTTTATTTAGTTTTATAAATAGTTACAGGGTTCTAAGGATTTGTTTGTTATTCAGTACTCTTTGTCTTGGGACCTATAGCATGCTTGCAAATGACAAAAGTTTAAAGTTCGAGGACTAGGGTATTAAGACTCCTCTATAAATACTTCGACACCAATCTTATTGAGGGACTTGTTTTTGGTTTAAATCAACGTGGCTGATGCTACTTACTCTAATCATTCTACAACTATCTTCTCTCCTCTCAATCCTCCTTTTGCCTATACCCTATTATGTCTAAGGCTTGTCATTCTTTTCTCCCTTAGTGTCATTAATCTTCTTCAATTCTAGTCATCCTATCTTTTATTCTTCATACTTTATAATATCTTCTAACCCTGACAACAAATAATAGTTTAAAGTTGGAATTTTATCTTTCTTTCTTCTTCATGTCTTCTTACCTTGAACAAAGAAAACAATTCAAATAACAAGAATTATAAACCTTAATTACTTTAGTGCTAAAACCAAGGGATTCAACACTGCTTGAGGATACCACTACATCACCAGCTTTGCTTACACAAAACTGTGCTACTATAGCGGCCTAACGTAGTAAGTGATATATACCTCTTTGTCCATTGTTTTCCACAACCACAAAACAGAATTAACAATTCTAACAAGTTCATCGGAAATTATACAACAACTGAGTTGTTAAACGATTCAACAAAGTTATAAACTAAGTGCATGTTTGGCTAAGCTAGTTGAACACACTTTTCATCCATATGATCCACAACTTATTACACTTTTTTTTTTTTATATACACATTCGGTGGGACCCACTAATTAAATTATAGTTTAAACGCTCGCACATAAGCACTAACTTTATCCCAAATTCAAATATCAACCAATCCGTGCACAACACATTTATAAAATGTAAGATGTGATCAACAACCAATTATACATTTCTTACTGTGCCTTTCATTACTAGAAACAGTAACTCAACCCCAAAATCCAGCTCTGAGGTTTTAAATGCAAGCAGATAAACATTTCCATTGCATTAAATAATAACAATCCAATTCTTAAACCCAAAAAAAAATTATTTGTCACATCAAGATCATCGATTGATTACGGGCCTCCGCCCATTTACTTACTTTCAGAGAACCAACATGTTCAAAAAATCCTTTATTGAATCTTCAAAAATAATCTCAATATATATATAATTTTTTTTTTTTCCTAAATTGTCAACACCCCATATCTTAGAACTTTCCGAATCCCAAACATAAATAAATAAATAAAATCCTAAAACGCAATTCAAATTCAAGAATTATTGAGACAGATCTTATTTACCACATCCATCTTCGAGCAAGACAAAATACAAAAAATCAAGTCAAACGAAAGTCAAACCAGAATTTATGAATACCCAAGCAAATATTAATGAATTTGAGCAAGCAAATTAATCCTCGAAGCATAAATTTTTGAGAAAAGAAAAAAGGTACCTTTGTTGATAGAATTGAGGTTTTTGTGCTTTCAGAATTTTAGGTCGATCGAACAATAATAACAGCTGCTAGTTGGTGAATCGGGTTTTGTACCATTATCTTTCTAGTTTTAAATAGAAACGGATATCACGTGCCGGCGTGTCTGATCTGAAAATTGTGGGCTAGCCATTAAACTTTGGTATAATTGAGCAAAAGTTCCAAACCTTTGAAATATTAGCAGATTTTTCCCAAATCTTTAATTTGTTGCAGCCGTCACTCCTAACCTTTCCAACCATTGCACGGGAGGCCCTTTTGAATGGTTTCCATCCATTTTTCCGTCAGTTGACCCAAAAATTAAGTTTGACAATATTTTTAATCAATTAAAATAGGGTAAAATGGTAAATATCTATTAAAATAATTAAAACTGTTATCAGATCCCTGAATTATAACTGCAACCAGAGGCTTGAAATTTAACAAATTTCATATGAAGCCCCCATCACCAAACTCGATTCAACTGAACCTTAAAATCAGCGGTAGTCAACCTATCAGCTTGTTTCCTTTCTACTCCTTTCTCTATTTCTCTCTCCCTATCTTCACCGCTATGATGTTTTATTTCATGAGTCAAACGCTAGATCACGTTCCCCAAAGGTTGAGGGCACGTTGGACCAGAAACAGTAGAGGAGGCTAAGGATGACAACCTGGCGGGAGAATACAAGAGCTCAGCGTCATAATTATCCGACAGATGCTGCAACTTTTCGGCGACTTTGGTGGTGTAACGGCTTCAGACAAAGGGAAAAAGAAGCAATACCCCCAAACCCATCCTCTCTGCTCCTAAAGTTTCTTCTCCTTCTTGAATAACCATAAACAGTTCTAATTTTTAGGCCTCTAGGCAGCCATGCATGTCATGATTATTACAAGAGAAGTGTAATTATACATTGGTTACAATAGCTTGATCGACACTGGAGGAGGCAGTGAAGCTACAGGATCATCCAATGACGCTTTGAAATCGCTTCTTTTTTGCTTCATCCGTGAAGAGAGGGAGAGAGAAATAGATAAAAGGAGTAAAAAGGAAGCAAGTTGATGGTTGACTGTCGTTGATTTAGGGTTCAGTTGAATCGAGTTTAGGGATGAGGGCTTTATATGAAATTTCTTAAATTTCAAGCCTGTGGTTGCAATTGTCATTTAGGAATCAAATAACAATTTTAATTATTTTAATAGATATTTACCATTTTGCCCCATTTTAATTGATTAAAAATATGGTCAAACTTAAATTTTGGTTCAACTGACGGAAAAATGGATAGAAACCATCCAAAAGGGCTTCACATACAATAGTTGGAAATGTTAGGAGTGACGGATGCAACAAATCAAAGACTTGGAAAAAGTTTGCTAATGTTTCAAAAGTTTGTGGCTTTTTGCTGCAATTATCCTTTTATTTATTTATTTATCACGGCTTAGACACTTTGTGTTAAGTTCCTTCGTTTATAGAGTCAACGAAAACACTGTTGTTATTAATGAGTGGATAATACGTGATTTAATTCTTTATAAACATGCATCTTGTCAAACAAATCTTGTTTTCTTTTTTCTTAATCCCTGTAAAATCCCCCGTTTGGTAGGAATTAAAATTTAGATTTTAATTTAAGTTAAAGTTAATATTTAATTTTAATCATATATTTCATGGGACCCACAACTTTTCAACCACACATTTCACTAACTTTTATAAAAAATTATTAAAAATCTGATTTTAATTTCTACCAAACAAAGAAATATTTTAAAAACTCAACTTGTTAAATAATATTTAGGAGAAGCTGCTTCTAGAAGTAAAAATACTTGAACAAATTACATGAGCAATGCAGAACTCATTCAAAATAACAGAAACAGACCTGACATGGCTGTAGATCATTCCATTACTTTTGCCTCTCCCGCAAATAGTATGTTAAAACGTTCAGCAGGGGTTGATGGGAACGACCCTAGTTTTTCTGTCAGAACTTCCTCTTCCAACATGTCAAAACTTGCATGTATACCATCAGGAACCTTTCGTATCCATTCTGCCATAAATGTTTCTATTTTCATCTTACCAATTTTCAAGATTTCTCTTGCAAAGTGAACGAAAATGCGCCTATTCTCCAATCTCCACACGCCACTTCCACCAACACACTCTTCCCCCTTATTACCATAGACTTTCAAGCAATGCACTATATCGTGGAAACCCATCTGTTTCTAATGCTCCCAGAACTTCATCTTCATTGAGTGCATTAAAGGACCAATCATTCAATATTACATCATGCAGAAGCATGTTCAGAATCATATCCATGTATTCGTCATCCAAAATGCGCCAACATCCATCAATTTCAACAGCTAAAAGGGCTAGTTGTCCAGACCTCAGTTCCTCATCGCTAGCCTGTACCTTGTCAACAAGATCATCCCATTTGTATAAGCCTGTATTTGTCTTCTCTCTCATTGGAGATGTCCATGTCTTAAGCCTCGTCAAAATTGTTAGCATTTTGAGAGAGAAGCAATATAAGTTTATCCAATTTGGGTGCAACCTCAACAAGTTCCATGCAGCCTGGTGCCGCTTTGATAACAGAAGCAGCCACTATGGTCTTATCATCTTTCTCATTACAATCTTGCACTGCTTTATCTGAAGGAGGAATAAGAAATACAGATTTGGATGTTCCTACAAATTTAACAGCATAGGTTTTTGACTGAGTACAAAGAAATGCACCTTCATCCGCCTGTCCTCTTATAGTTACTCTACTAGAGAAATAAGAATTAAGATGAGATAAGGACTTGATCCAATAAAACTACATACCTTTGCTGAAGGATATCAGGGACGAGCTTTTCATCAATTTCGAGGAGTGTTGTGTCATTTTGGGAACCAAAAAGAGAGTGATAAGCAATAGACATTAATGAGTTGGGTTGAAGGCCTAGTAGTGCTCGTGCACCTCCAGTGCTTCCCAGTCTTAGATGTTCCATATCCATATTTCACGTACTCTCTTCTTTATTAATGGAGCATGAAAAGGAAAAAAGATTAATGAATACAAGTTTTCTCCCCTTTCTACATTTCACATCCCATCCCCACTGCGGAAAGAATAAAAAATAAAAGAAAAAGGAGTAAATCCTTGAAACAAGTAATAATAGATTAAAATCTTCCCTCGATGAAAAATGTTCGTGGTAAATAATTAAAACCGGTAAATGCAACTACTTGCTGCCATCTATGCAGATTCAAAAACCTGATGTTGTCATGCCGCTTATGTGACTCGTATTTGTATCCATGCTTGGACTAAGGCTCAGTTTCAGTCCTCATCACATGCATCATCTTAGGGTGATGGCTGATGATCTCAAACACATAAATCAAAATGTTACCGATTTCGTAAAATTAATTCAACACTTTGGTAAATGAAATTCATTGTAGTCAATGGTCTATAACTCATCTTTAAATCACAATGTTTCAAGAACTTCCAACAGAGAATTAATTACTAATCAAGTTTCAGGTGGACGGATCGTTTCACCTCCTCAAATTAGTTCAAGAATTTGGTAAATGAAATTCATTGTTGTCAACCTTGCCCATAAGGAGTCATCGGTGAGCACCTTCCAAGCAAATTTCATGTGGAGAGAGATCTTTCAACCTCCTCAAATTTTCCTTTCTTGACTGGCTTACATATTTTTCCCAAGCCACCCACTTTTTCCTAGCCTTCCCATTCACCGCACTCTAAAAGAACAAGGACAACATAGAGTTCAAAGACCTAAACACAAGGACAGATAACAGGTGAGTTGCCATACTAGTCAACACATGCCTCGGTAAAAGGACTCAACCTCCCCGTGATAAATCCAGTTTCCAGCCAGCAATTTTACTACGGATTTTCTCCTCCAGACTTTGTAAATGGCGAGCCGTTAGCCTCTCTATCACCACCGGAAACTCCCAAATACTTAATAGGAAACAAACCCTCACTGAAAGAAGTCACTTGAAGAATACTAGCCTTCTGAGCAGCCGTGCAATTTTTTCTTTTCTAATAAGCTAGCTATCCCAACCATCTTTCATAGAGCGAAAAAATTCTCATAGACTGTTTGCTCCCATTAGCAAATACTACTAGATCATCTGTATACAATAAGTGAGACACCAAAGGAGCTCCTCTAGGGTGTGTGAAAGCACCAATACTACCTGCCTCAAATTTCTTATTTAACAATCTAGTCAACACCTCTTCCATAATTATAAAAAGATACGGCGAGACGGGATCGCCTTGCCGCAGACCTCGGGAGGACTTGAAAAGCTTCGAGTCGTACCATTCATCATAGCAGAAAACCAGGGTGTTGATATGCAGTCTGAAATCAAAGAACACAATTCAACAGGGAACCCAAAGGATCGCAAAAACATGAATCAGAAATCTCCACTCTACTCTGTCATATGCCTTTGCCATATCTACCTTAACAACCACATTACCTCCATGATTCTCGCAATTCAAAGCCTGCACCATCTCTTGAGTTAAAGTGATGTTTTCAAATATGCTCCGTCCTGGTAAAAAGGCCCATTGTTCAGGGGAGCTGCACCGTGGAAGCAAACCAGTCATCCAATTCACCAAAATTTTTCCCAAAAAATTTGTAAGCTATGGAGCATAAGCTGATTGTTCGGAACCGATCCAAGCCATCTGGATTCTCCAATTTAGGGATGAGCACAATATAAGACGAAGAGTAAAATCTTGAACTTTCCAAGTGGCAGAAAAGGGAGGAAATCCAACTATCTCAACAGGCAAAGATGATATTTCCAGCTCCTCAGAGTACTCGCTCTGCAAAGAATTCTCCAAGCTCTCAACTCCCTCTTCTAACTCAGAGGTAATCTGTGCTACATGCCCAAAAATCTGCCTATTCCACGTTCTCAAAGCCACTTTTGTAGCTTTAGCTTCGCAGCTAGCTTCTGAAGATCTCTTAACCCATCTACATGATTCGGCTCTCTCCATACATGCTCCACACAAGATCAAAATTGCTCATGCTCATACCACATCCTGTGAAACCGAAAAGAAGATGGACCATAAGACTCAAACAATCTCTCCACCTAAATCACCATTGGACAGTGATAAGACGTATTCTTCTGCAAATATTTCATTGGAGTTTCGAATAAATACGCAAAGCGTTCGAATTGCCTAGCGTTCGATCCAGTCTAGCCCAGCTTTAATCCATCCCATCATGTCCATTGCGCCAAGATAACCGCCTCACCCTATATGGCACCTCAAGCAATCCACATCTATCCATACATTCATTAAACTCTCCCATAGCTGCAAGCAGTCAAGGATGACCTCCTATACATTCAGAGTCTTGTCTAATGATGTTAAAATCTCCAGCAATGATCCATGGTAAACCACCAATGTGAAAAATTCTCCAACTCTTACCAGAGTTCCCTTCTCTCCATAGCATTGCATTTCGCATAGATGAAAGAGACCACTATTTTGTGATTTTCTTTCGTAGATACTCCATGCAACGCTTGCGAAGCTCCAATCCAATCCACCACAACATCGTCAAGCCAAAACACCCAGATTTTTACACCTTCTTTCTCATTGGAAATCCACCCAAACAAATTTATTTTCCTTGCAAACATAGCCAAACGACGGTCACTATGGAATGGCTCGCCACTGCTAAAACTGCCGCATTATTTTTCCTAACTATTTTCCTCAGCCTTCCATTTAGACGTGCCCATCCCCTGCACGTTCCACACAACCATTGTGTCCATCATAAATTCAATTTAGAAGGGCGTGCTCGCACCCGTTGAGATTGTCTCAAACCTCGATACTCTTGAACTTTGTATGGCCGCAATTTTATTCACCTCTGAATCCGAGTGATAATCCAACTCCCCCGCTTCATCCTCAACATCCTGTGCATCAGTAATCTCGCAATCCGATCCTCTGTGTGGTGCTCTGTCCCCCAACTCAACTTCCACCATAGTTTCTCCCACCTCAGGCCCAGCATCCACAAATCCAGAACCTTGACCATCCATGCGTACCCCAATCCATACCCTGCATAATCCCTGTATCCCCCAGTACTTGATTTTCTATTTCTGCACTCTAATCCATATTTTGCAACCCAAGACTACCACCAGACTCTGCTTGATTTCCTTCTGGTACAATAGAATGTCCTACCTCCTCTACCATTCCAGTTGACTTTGACGACTGCTGACGGTTCTCCACCAAACTTCGCACAACTCCTATTACCAGAACATTGTCGTTATGAACTTTCTGTGAATGCACTGAATTTTGTTTTTCCAACTCCACTATAGGACCATTTTCCTCGCATTGATTCTGATACACAGTCTCGTGAGCTTTCTCTACAGCCTCACCATCAATCACAGCCAAAGCCTCAGGGGTCTCTTGTTCCACCTCCACCACTAGTGGCTCCTCTCGAATCACAATACCCACTGTCTTTTCAGCCTTCTCTATCTCTTTACCACTCCCCTGCTTTCTTTTCCATTCGATTTTCTCTTTCCCTTTCTGCTCTCTGGTTACTCCAGTTATCCCACATCGGTACTTTTAGAAGGATTAAACTCATTCATATGTTAAATTTTAAAGAAGGAGTCCGTGTTCAAAGAAAGGAGAGATGGTTGGCATCTCCCCCGACAGGGACGGGAACGGTTTTCGAGCTTCACATGTTACCATACACATCCGGTTAAGGCTACCCACTTCGGTGGATCTCTAACCCAATTTTTTTTCTTTCTTCTCAACTCTAAGACGAATTTTGATCAATCTAGAATTTGAAGACCGAGACCATGGGTTGACTGCAACAACAAACCCTAGGGATAATAATTTTTTTATTATTTATTTAATTAAGAAAATATAATTTTCAAATTTATTTATTCCCTTCGTATTATATTATATGGTTGATAAT